AACATGAAACCACCCTAAAAATCAAAATAAAATAATAAAACACATGCTAGAAAAGGTAAGAGTCCCCTTATGAAATCCTGACAATGTGGCAGTTTCTCAAAACATCCGGAAACTTTTTCTTAACCTCAAAACAAGATAAACTAACTCCAATCGCTGTGCAGCTTTCAAAGTACTTGGATCTTTGGACAGATAATTCATTTCAGGGCCCTATCTGAAAAAAGATGGGTAGTTTATCTTGGTTCTTTATGAATCTGATACTACCCTAAAAACCCTCATCTTTGCACTGACTTTAGGCCTTGGCATACGTGGCTTCTGACTCCAATCTACTGTTAGACCTGGCCAAGCTGAAGCAAAATTAACTTGAGTTCAATTTAATTAAACTCAAAAAGTAAAAAAGAAAAAACCTACAAAAAGAACTTTAGATTATCTATTAATAATAGCTCTGTTATGCGAAGGAAGAAACTGAGCATTGAATTGAAACAGCCCACCCGATACCCACAGGTCAGGACGAGAGCCAACAAATACTAATAATAATTTTAAAAACCCACCTTATGATTCTGTCAAACCTATTTTATAATTCTCCAAAAAGTAACTATACACACACACACACACACACATTTTCAATTTTTACACTCATGTTTTCCAAGCTGAATCCACTTGCCTGATTCAGCCTTTCTCTTTTCTCCCCTCTTTTTGGGATCACTGGGTTCGGGGGTTTTTCTCTGTGGAGGTTCCTCTGCAGTCCTAGCACTGACATCTTGGACACTTGCAGTAGAGCTAGACGCACCATCGTTAGAAAAGCCGTAATTGGCCTGATATGTAGCAATGAAATCTTCAGTGATCTAAACAAGAAATTTAGTACACACACATACAGAAATTCAAAAATGATTTCCTCCCCTAAAAAGTTTACACTGTGTTAAATAACCAGCATATTCAGTTATACAACCTAACATACAAGTGTTTCTGTGGATAATAGTAATTAAAAGTGTGAACGAAAGAACAGTCACCTTATGCAGGAAACTGCGCATAAAATGACAAAAAATTAAGACACGGGTACTTGGATTATAAACACAGAAGTCTGAGATACCGTTAAAGGCATTTTGAGTGATGTTGGCACCTTTTCTAGTTGTTTCATTTATAAATTACTATATCTGCAATCTACTTAACTAAAGCTACAAGTAAATTTAACAAGGAAGTACTAGATAACCATGAAACAGAATAAAAACCAATAGTCAACTAATAATCTAACAACAGAATCAAATTTTCTTTTACTATATAGATGAGCAAGAGTATATGTAGGCTAAATATTTAATATCTGTAAGCAGAGAACACACGGTGGAACTCTGATTTGGTGTATAAAGAATGGGGCTACTAACAACTGTAAAATTAAATGCTTATTTTAACTCCATCACTGATTAAATCACATTATCATTTAATGTCAGAACAAATCCAACTCACATCTATCCTCCTGGCTCTTAAGGAAAAAAAGGACAATTGCACAATGAAAGAAATGTAGTTATATCTTCATACCAATCAATGTCAGGTACACACAGGAATGAGGAAAATTTAAAACTCAAAGTTTGAAGAGGTACGGGCTCCCACAACATAAAAAGATAGAGTCACAAATTAACCCATTATCAGATCACTGTCAAAGCGCTCAGAAGGCTGAAGAAACCAAGCCTGCACTCCACCTGGCACTACCAGTACTGAAGAGAAGTAGTAAGTTGAACAATTCGGAGTGATTGGAACATATACACAAATACGAAACGGGAAAGAAGAAAGTTAAAATAAGTAATTTTAAAAAATAACACTCAAATTACACAAGAGACATGGTTTGTATTCCTGGCTTGCAAGTTGATTCGCCTGCGATTAGTATCCTTTTTTCCACCCACAGAAGACTTTGATTAACAGGGTACTTTTACCAAAAAGTTTACAGAACTAAGTTTAACATTAGTCTTTTTACTTCCAAGCTGAAATAAAATACTCAACAATTACCAAGTACTCTAAGCAAATATGCACAGATCTTTTTCATCCAATATTCAGTGCACCTCTACTTGTATTCTTGTGGTGATATGGTTCAAACCTACGTGTCTAGGAACAAAATTTAATAGTAAGGTAAAAAGAAATACAAAGTTCAGTAAGTAAAGATTTAGCAACAGCGACTTTTTTTTTCAAATCAAGAAGTTGCGTTTTGCACATAAAACATCTGAATTCCTAGGATAAGTGAGGTTGGCTACCTGAGATCAACAGCTACAACATTTGCTCTCGGTGTTTTTCCTCTTTGTAATAAAAAGCAGTCACCAATGCAATAACCAACTATGACCTTCACAGATAAAATTAATAAGGCATAGAAAAGACTTAAGAATTAAATTACATTTAAGACATCTGCCTAAAGTTTTACGTTCCGTTACACGTCGGTTCTGCCACAGAGACAACAAAAAGAAGCGTCTCTATCCAGAGGGGCTCTAACCCAGGACCTCAGCAAAGAAAACATGAAAGCGCCCCGCGAGGCTGGCCAGGCGGGCCCGCTCCGCAGTGCCGCCCGTGCGACTCTTACCTTGGGGAACCAAGCCTTCTTGTCCAGGTCCCACTCGTACGGGGTGTCAGCCGGCTGCTGCCCGAAGGAATCAGTTTCTCCGCCGGAATCTTTCTGGGTGTCGCCGTCCTTGGTGTCCCCGTACAATTCTTGCATTCGCAACTGCTCATCAAACTCGTCGTTCGCATCCAAGTTGTTGCCGCTCATCTTGCCGACTTAGCCCAGGGACAGGGTCCGGGCGAGCGAACAGGCCGATCTGACTCTGGAGGGGAACAGAGAAAAGGAGGTCGGCCACGCTCAGCCCGCGCCCCGCCGCCCCCCGGCCCGC